ACACAAATATTATACCCTACACTTGTTTATTTTTCTATATGTATTCGTTTACAAAGCCTGCAGCAGGTAGAAAAATAAAAACAGATGTTACATGTATTTTCCGTGTTTCTATCAGGCTTTCTCGGACTCCAGCCTGGATCCCAAGCACTGGCTGAGCCACTGGAGAGCCCTTTGGTGCCGGGGATTTTCCTCCCGGATCCGCTGGACGATGCTGTTAATGGTCTGGAGCCGACCCCGCAGTTTCTCCTGCTGGTTCCTGCAGGCCTCTTCAGTGCAGCTCGGGGCCCGGTACTTCCCTTCCTTCAGTGCCTGCAGATGCTTCTGGTGTGCCTGGTGGGCCACAAGCTCCAACAGGTTCTGAGAAAAGCAACAGGGGAAAGGGCTGTGAGAGCAGGAAAGATGCACACAGGGCATCGGTGTGACTCGTGTCAGCTGCTGTGACCACTGCATGTGACAAGGGAAGGACAGTGCTGTGAATTCCCCATCACAACAGCCAAACGCCACCTCCATTCCGAGTGTTGTAGGGGTACAGACATCACAGAATTCCATAAATCACAGAACTGCAGCATCAACTGAGGGCCACTGTGAGCCCCCAGAACGTGCCCGGTGAACATGTGGCTAAAATTGGTCACTGAGCACACCCTGTTCAGGATGGTGCTGGACAGAGCTGGCAGCAGCAGGAAGCAGCAGGCTCTGTTTGGCTCACCCAGCGTTTCTCGTTCTGGAGACATTCCATGTCCAAGTCGAGGCCGTCGGCCTTGGCCTGGAGTCTGGACAATTCCCGCTTCTTCTCCGAGAAGGTGGCCCTGAGGGACTCTTGGGTGTTCTCCAGCTCCAGGATGGCTTGGTTGCAGTTAAAAATATTCTAGTAAATGGAAGAGAAGGAAATGGCAGACTCCAGTTCTTTACTTCAGCTGCATTCCTGACCATCCTCCCAGAACTCGTTTGTTGGGGGTTTTTTAATGAATGTCCAAAGCCCTCCCCTGTGCCCCTGTGCACGGGCACCCCTGTGCTCACTGCTGCTCATCACAAGGCCCACACCAGCTGTGTGAGCTCCTGCAGCCCTGCTTGCCTTGCTCACCTCCTGGGCTTCCCTGATCTTCCTCCTCAGCTCCTGTTTCCTCTGCTGGAAGTCATTCCTGGTGCTGTGTTTCTTATCCAGCTTGCTCTGAGCCTCTCCCCGCACCGCTATCATCTCTCTGCGAGAAACAGACGCCTCCATGTCCCGAACCACCTTCTCCTGCTGCTTCAGCAGCTGCCCATAGCGGACCTGCCGTTTGCCAAGACACAAACCAGGCTCAAAACACGGAATGTTTACCAATGGCACCGAGGGAGGTCGTCTGGGTGGCACATCCCACCAACACAAACCAGATACATGTGACACGTGAGTGCCTGCAAGCCAAATTTGGTCCAAAGCCAAACCTGGTTTGCCATGTGTGGATCTGGAAGGCAGAGGGCTGAATTGTCAACTTGTCCACAATAATATTCCAGATGTTGCTCTGGATCTCATTAGCAAGAGCAGAAGCAGAAAAGCAGAAGCATCCTGAGAATGAAGGGCAAGAGCTGCTCTGCCAGGAGAGGGAACACCTTCCTAACCAGTGATTAAGGTGATGCAATATTTAGTAATCAACATTTCTTTGCTTACAAATAGGGGTCACAGAATCAGGTGGCAGATTACTGCAATTTAAATAGATTCCTTGGGAGTATCCAGACTCTGCTGAGCCTGGCACAGGGAACTCACAGGGAATGCAGGATGTGCTCAGTTCAGTCGAGCTGCAGGGGGTTAAGAGTCCCACCCTGGGCACTGGAGATGCCACTTCTCCAGCCTGCTTCTCATCTCCTGCCTCATGTTTCAGCCACTCCAGTACATTGTGTGGCTTTTCCTCCTCAGCCCTCTTTCCCAGTGCCTTACTTGCATCCTACGAATCTCTGCTTTCATGGCTTGGATTTCACCTTGTTCTGACCCAGAACCTGTGGCTTCTTTCATCTCTTTTGCCAGCTGGATCTTCTTCTCCCACAGCAGGATCTGATGCCTTCAGAGAAGAAAGGAAAGGGAAAGCCTTTGTAACCCACAGGGATCTCTGTACCAGCAGCAGCACGTGCCCAAGACAATTCTGAACACAGAGCTGGCAGAATCCAAGGATTTGCACGTGGGATGTGGAAAAGGGCAACACAGAGCAGGGTGAAACCAGACAGCAAGCTTCCCAACTCAGAAAATGGGGTGGTGACTATAAAAACAAGTGTGCCCAGACTGGCAGGGACTGCTGGACCCCAATGAACAGCCCAGTGCAGCACACTCACTCCAAGTTACTGGCAGAGTCTTCCCATACAGATCTTGGTAACATCCCCACATGATGGAATTGTTAAAGCCACCATCCTCCCAGCTTGTTCCAGAGACAACCAAAGCACCTTTCAGTTTCTGTGTTTCAAACATTCATTAAAGTCCTTTCCCCTTCTTCAGGAAGGACAGAAGCACATTTGCTCATGCTGGGTCAGTTTGGTGCCTGGAGAACAGGAACATGGACACAGACACACGAGATTGTGGCATTCTCTGGTACCTACTCTGCTTCCATTATGCTGTTCAGGAGCCTTTCCTTCTCCTCAGTCAGTTGACTGTACTTCTCCTGCATCTCCAAGGATTCTTTTTCTGCTGCCTAGATTTGGGAAGCACAAAACAATATGTTGTCAGGCTGAGGTTTTCCAGGATCACTACCTGCCTCCAATCTGCACAGAAGGTTGAGGGGTCAGGCCTTGGTACCTTGAGGGAGTGCACAAACTCATTCTCTGTGATCATGTTGGCATGTTGCAGCTCCTCAAAGCTGCTGTTGTTCTTCCTGATCAACACATTCAACTTTACCAAGTCATTTGACATGTCCTTCATGTGCCGTTCGATGTCCTTCTGTTCTTTTGTTTCTTGCTGAATTTCATCTATAGGTGAA